TGGCTGCATTTGAGAAATAAGATTATGGCTAAAATTACAAAAAAAGAATTCTTAATAAAATTGCACAACTTAAAAGATCATAGTATTAGATGCATATAAGAAATAAGATCAATGTTAAAATTACACATTTACTTTATGTTATATTTAAACAATTTTTAAAGTGTTTATTTTCAACTTTTTATCTTTTTATTTCCCAATGAAATGGTTTATTATGCGATGCTTTTCTTTTCTTTTTTTTTTTGCTACTTGTAATTATCTTATTAAATGTATTATTAGAAATTAAATGTGTGCACTTCTCTCAATAAAAATTTAAACCTTAATTTTTCACGTTGGGAGAAATTTGTTATTTTTTTTTCTCTTTTGAGAATATGTTCATAAATGAAAAAAGTTCAAGGCCTGTAAAACTTTATAAGATCATCTTTCTTAGTTTCTTGTAAATGATGCAATTAGTCCGCCACAAAATGAGATTTTCAAATGAATGATGCAACCTTTAATAAAAGCTAATTTAATATTCAATTTGGTTCTAAATATAATATTTCAATTCATTTTATCTTTTATATTTATCTATTTTTTTTCAAAGCAAGCATTGTAGTAGTTACATGTGTTAAATGTTCCATCAAATAATAGTTTTAGCTAATACACATAATTAGCAAAAATATTCTGAGAAAGCGACACATATTTATTACAAATAACTAATTTAACAAACTTTCTTAATTTAATTAAATTAGTCAACTGACTCTTATATTAATGGTTTGAGATAGTAATTAAGAATTCATTCTAGAAATTAACCTATTTATTTCTTTTTGCCTACTGAATGTTTATGTAATGTTGATATTTTAGCATGAAACTGGCAACTTTTTTCAAAATACTGATTTTGGTAAAAAACACTAAAGAGTGAGATGTAAATATTTTCTAAAAATTATTTTTGCATGAGAAGCATGTCAGCGGATGTCCATGTTGGATCAATTCCACATGCTGGAATCCCATTTCATACAAGACTCAGTCTCAATTATTTCTTAATATTTTTGGCGCAGCCAACTTAAATTCCATATCTATTTCTTAATATAAAAGATAATTAATCCATTTTAAAATATTAAAAAAATTAGTTATTTATAACAAATAGATATTAAATTTTTTAAAATATTTTTTTATAATTATATTTAAAATTAAAGTAGATTAAAATTTTATATTTAGAATCAAAATAAATTTTTTGTCTGACAATTCTTCTAAGTACCGAAGCTAATAAATATAAAATTTACCAAATCAATTTATAAATTTTGATTTACACCACTCAATTTGCATTATTATGTTATGAACCTTACATCTAGTTTCATTGCAAATTTTGTTGCCCTCAATTTGCCACTCCATCTAGTTTCTTTATATCGCCTCAAATATTGGCTCTTATGTTTTCATAAGGACGATTTTATTTTTTTGACCTGTTATTTTCATAAGCATTTACGGTTAAATGTAATAGTATTAACTTCATTTATGCGGCGTTCACATCATTAGGTTATGTAGCTGTTGATATGGCTAGCTGAATGGGGAAAAAACGTAAATGAATTGTTATCAAACTAAAAGGAGTAATAATTCCAGCGAAATTCCAAAACAAAATTGCTCTTAAAGAAATTTAAAGGATCAAAAGGTTTCACTCAAGAGCGTTAAGTACCTATAAGTTTGTTTGGATGCAAATTTATCCTAAAAATTTAAAATTATAGTAATTTTATCTTTTATTATTAAAAATATTAACAGTTAACGATCAATGGAACATTAAATTTTTTAATCATGAGACAAAATTGTTATAATTTCAAATTTTTGGGATAAATTTGTACTAAAAAAACTTTTAGGTGTTTAATGCTCCTTAATAAAAACTTTCAAAAAAAATTTCCCCTATAACCCAAATTTAAAACAAACATTTCAGATTAATCCACGTGGATGATGCTTCCATGCAACTCCACTTTGAATTTGCATGGAAGAAAGCGTCTTCGTTGTTCTGCGTGTATGCCAAAAACACTAAACTATTATTAATTAACATTAAAAAAAACTAGTGATGGTCTTGAGATCTTTGTGATTAATTAGATGCTATGGTTCGCGTGTGAGGAGGATTAAGGTTGAGATTCTATTAATCACTGTATAAATTATCTATATTTGATTTGAATGGTCCTAATTTAAAATTTTTAACTAATTATTTTTAAATAAAAAACTATTTTTTAAAAGAATGATAGTTAAAAGATTATCTCTATATATTCTATAAACATTAAAATAATTATTTTAAATAAATAAAAATAAAAAATTAAATCTGAACCATCTAAATGAGATATGAACATTTTAGACTTGATGAGTTGAGCATCGAAACTGGTTTCAAATAACTAAACTATTATTAATTAAAATTAAAAAAAAAGTTAAGAGATTATTTTTAATTAATTATTTTTAAATAAAAAACTATTTTTTAAAAGAATGAGAGAAATTATCTCTCTATATTCTATAGACATAAAAATAATTATTTTAAATAAATAAAAAAATAAATTTGAACCATCCAAATGAGATACGGAAATTTTAGATTTAATGAGTTTAGAGTGCTCATCAAAGTGACGAGCATCGAAACTAGTTCCAAACAACTAAACTATTATTCATTAAAATTAAAAAAAAAAGTAGTGATGGTTTTGAGATCCTTGTGATTAATTAGATGCTATGGTTCACGTGTGAGGGGGATTAAGGTTGAGATTCTATTAATCAATATCTAAATCCCTCAAAAGTTTATTTCGTACATTTTAAGGCTGACTAAGCTCTGTCCTTAATTGATTTCTTTTTCAGTGTCTTGTGCTTAATTAATTTAAACCAAAAACATGTCGGCATCTTTGCTTAACTCTGCTTTTATTATAACAAATTAATAAATAGGAATTACTACAGGGCCTTCTGGTCATTATTTAACGATTGTTGAAATTAATTAAGTAGCTTTGCATAGATAACCCAGTACTGATTAGCGAAGTTTTCAAAATTGAGAGTCCAAACAAACCTGTGATAAAAATGTAAATTCGTATCGTAAATTCATAAGAGTTTACTTTTATTAATAAATTGGTAATAATGATTAAAATTAAATTCATCAACTTTCATAATTTAATATATTTAACAAAAAAAATCTTTATCAAATTCACATATAAAGTTACTAAACATACCTAAATCTAAAAATTTATTACGAGTTTAAAAAGAAATTGACATGATTTTATAAGCTAAAAAAGTAAAAATAATAAATTTGGTGGGTGAACCCTTAAGTTTGACTAAATTTACAACTAATGAGTTTAAGTGTTACTCGATATAATTTTGTAAGTTGAAAACGTAAAAATGTTAAACGCAGAGAATCAATTTGAAAGTTTAACAGCAATAATAATTAGCCTAGAAACTGTGTGATAATAATTTACTCCCTTTGTTTTTTTTCCTCCCTTTTTAATCATCTATTAGAACTTTTAATTAAATCACAGAGATAAAAAAATGAAAAATCACAATTAGTTAAAAGTTGAATTTTTTTTTTGAAATACCATAACATTTAGATTACTCTTAATTATACTCCGGTCCTTTATATAAGCAACAAACAAAATCAATTAAAATTGTTGAAGACAATAAATATGTAAAAAAAAAAAGTCTATTTCTTTTAAAATATGCCATTATATATATAGGAACTAGATGAGAGAGAGAATCAATAGGGAAAAAAAAGGTCAAAAAAAAGTATGGCGAGCAGCTACACGTAATCAATTAGGAATAAAAATTTTAAAAAAATACATTAAATGTCCTAACATCTCTAAAATATAACTTATAAGAAGGATTCCATTTTAAAAAAAAATTGTAAGTTAAACCACAGAGAATATATTCACATTAATTTCTTTCACATCTACAGCAATCACAAGATCAAAGAGAGAAGCATGTTCGCAGAATGCATTGATAAAAGCATTTTTGGAAACTAGTTTTATCAATTTCTTGATATAAATCATTAGGAGAATCCCATTTAAATTCAACTAAAATATGAAAATTTAAAATCAGGCCTACACCTTAAACAAATTCCTAATCAGGCCAAGAGGCCATTAGAGATTTATAAATATTGTTAAAAGTCTAAAATACCTTCTATGATTATAATATAAGCTGCTATCTTTATATTTTCCTTCCTCACAAATTTTTTTCTTGAAATTTTTTTATCGGATTTTCCTGAAATTTGAAAATAGTAAATCTTTAGCATATGATAGGAAATTAAAACCCATTCCTTGATTCACATTAATAATTACTCTAGTACCATCATCAATGTAATAGTATAGGTCACTAATGGATTTTAATTTTGGATGAGTTTAATTTCTGCTCAATTTTAATATTGATCCATCCTCCATATATTTAATAATATATACACATATAATTTTTTTTATTAAACCACGTACACTTTTTTTTTTTGATAAAATATATGTGCATTGTAAGAGTGGAAAACTTATTCAAACGACGAACTTTTTACAAATTTTAGATTGAGGACAGTGTTATAATTTATTGTTTTCATATTTTAGGAAAAAAATCTGTAAGGGAGAAAAATATCAAAGTATAAGCTCATATTTTAATTATAGAAGGGCATTTGATCTTTTAGCAATATTCATAAATTTCTAGTTAGGCCTTTTGGCCTAATTAAGAATTTATTCAAAATGAAAGCTTAATTTTAAATTTCAGTATTTCCACTGGATTCAAATGAAAATGTCCCTAAATCATTTTAAGAGGAAAAATGACTGTGAAACTACTGTACTAGATTTTCCTAAAAATTTATCCATTTAACCTTATGCTTGGTACGAAGGAATTGAAAAGAAAGGGGAAAAACAAAAATTATTAATAAATTCAAGTAGAAAAGTAAATATCCTGCGCTGCATAAGAATCAAGGCTCCCCATCGAGCGCAACTTTGCGGAGAGTGCAGAAAGCATGGATGTCTATCCAGTAAATATGTTTCTATTTTCTGAATTCTGGTTTGTTACCACCCATCTGCTTTTGCAAATGATATTTAAATACAAAAATCCACAAGAAGAAAGTTGGATGGCTCAAAAGAGAGTAATGCAAGTTAAGTGTGAAACATAGAGCTAAACTTGTATTCTTAGCCATCCCCACACAACATTTTTGGTACTAAACGATGCTTCACTCACTCTGAAACACTTCAACCCTCGCAACACAACAAAAATTCAGCTAGGGGGAAGAGGCAAACTTGCTATCTAAATGTAATCTTATATGCTTACATTGTAAACTAAAGAATCATAACAAGACGCTATACTTTCAGCTTAGGCTCCCATGACAAGCAATTGCATGAATAAAACATATTCAAGAGGACATCTATTCACAAGCTCAATCTCCCGAGCGTTATTGGACAGTTTTCACCTTCCTAACGTCTCACACTGATTGATGCTCCCTTGTGCCTGCTTGTTGAGGCGGTGTTGTTGGACCATGAGGATCGCTTGAACCCCCCACTAAGTACGGTAGATGCTGCAGCTGCAGAAATTTTCCTTCTTTTAGATTCTAGCTCCAGCCTTCTCTTATCTGACATGGAGGAGCCAGATGCTCCAGAAAAGATGGATGCCGCATTGATTAGTGCCCGCTTGTCCTTTCTATTTTTGTCGAACTTGCCAGAAAACTTCACTTTTGCTGCAGTGGCAGCATCTTGTTCTGTAGCTGGAAGCAGTCTCATTCCAAGGCCTCTTTTCCGGGAGGCAGCCTCCTCTTCCGCTACTCTTTTCTTTTGGCTCTGAAAAAAGAAAAAAGCAAGACTGATCACTGCTGAAGAGTGGCATAATTATAAGAAATAAAATCTAGAAAGGTCAGAAAGGAAAAGGAAATTAGGAACAAAATAATAGAAAAAATGTGATGAGCTCAAAAAACATACTCGAAGTTGGGCCCGGAGACTCTTGTTGAGAGCATAATCATCCGAATGCCTGGCATCAGATAGTCGCTGCAGACGCACAAGCACTGGCTCAGCTTCCTTCTTCTTCTTCAGATCTTGTTCCTGGTGTTCAAGACGATAAAATGGATCTGAAAGCTTCCCTCTCTCTGTAAAAGAGTGTTTATAATGAAGTTAGTTAAATAGTACTCATATTGGCAAATGCTCTTTGCCAAGTATTCTGTTAAAGAATCACCATATAAACATTGTAATTAGTGGCCACTGAACAATTCACAATAATGTGAATAGCTGCTTTGCTTGACCACAGCAAGAAAGGCTGAGAAAGATGAAGCACTGGACTTATTATAATAAGAAGAGGGAACTTGGTCCATCCAGAGGAAAAGCCATTAGAACCCTGAGTCTACTGCAATCTTTCCCTCCTTCACCAACAAAGTTAGATTCATGGGACTCTTGTACATCTGTGGACAGCGTTTGCTATGTCTTGCTTAACTTTTTCTGTCATGGAAATAAACTTCATATTTTTGTCGAGAAATCTTGTTATCTTGCTTAGCTTTCATGTGACTCTTATACATCTTGATAATCTTTTTTCTATCTCTCTCTCTCTCTCTATATATATATATATATATGGCTAGAGCGAGGTGTGGGTAATGAATAAAGATTTTAAAATCTCAATAGGCATGATTTCTTTCCCATTACATACCTTCATCAGCAGGTAATTCGAGTGTTTCTGCATCCTCAACATCATAAACCTCAGTTTTCTTCTGGGCCCCACTGATAATGACATACTCACAGTTCTTCGGATCAGTTTGGATAACAATCTCATGCTTACAGCATGCGGACTTCATGGTGAAGCTCCATATCTGAAGGAACCAAGAAACATTAGTTTTATAAAATGGTCAACAGAAAATGGGCAGAATAGAATTTAAAAAAAAAAAAAACCCGAAGAAGCTTTAGAAGAACATGATGCACGCTGTGTGTGTGAGTGAGTGACAGAGAGAGAGCGAGAGGGAGAGAGGGAGAGAGAGTCAATAGGCACGGACAGGATCTTGTATTTCTTCCTCAATCTCTAAAGCATTAATGTGAAAATGATAACATACCTTTGCCACCAAAACCATAGTAAACTGTAAGATGCTTTTGCAATCATATGCAACATACCTTTGTAGAATAGTAATTTCCGACTTGCTTTTTCTCTGCATTGAACCGCACTCCCTTTGCAATCATAGAATTGCACCCTCCACACCATATATTAAAAGGCATTTCAAACCTGAAAGAAGTATAATTCAAAATTATGGAAAAATAGTGTCAACACTGTATCCCAGGAAAACCAATTTAAGCTTTGATAAGAAAGAAGGCCATTCAAGGACCACTTTCTCTAGCTTATTTACATATCAACAAATGTTGAAAGTAATCACATAGACTACCAAAGCAGTTTATTAATGTGGATGAACAGGTTCCAACATATAATAAATCTTGAAAGTTAAGGATCCATTTTCAATCAAAATTATTCATCAAGTGATCACTAGAATATAATCATGAGTCTCATATAATTTAGATATTATTTTCCTTCCTAAACCATGCACCTACCAAATTCAATTATCCAGAATGTTTCATCTTCCAGACTAGAGCACTTCTTGCAAGATAATTAACAACTTTGCAGCGAAGACCACCCTCTCAAGAAGGATAATAGACAGAAAGAATGACAGTATCGTAGCTACTAGCTACTGTCACTGCAATTCATTACCTTATAATCAGAATACCCTGATCTAATTTTCTTGCTCTCTCCCTCAAGGCATGCTGACCATGAAACTTGTTCAGAGAACCCTGAAAAGGAAAACATGATGTAAGCCTCCGGATATCATACTGTTCTAGACAAGAGCAAAACAAAGCCTCTAAGCAAGCATACCTGACTCGGGTCCCATTCTGGAGGGTAGTAAAAGTTGTCTGCTCGGGCAGCCGCAAGTGAAGACTGTAGAAATCAAAATAATGTGAGTTTAGTGTGTTTACTAATGACAAATCATCTATCAACTAACACTACCAGAAAAGCATGGAAGTAGCAAGCCTTTATAGTCCTTATTCTTTTGTTAGGGATTAAACAGGGATTGGTAATAAAAACAGAAATTTTCATGCTCAGAAGTCCATAAAAGATCAACTGCACTCACATATCGAACAGATAGTAAAATTTCAAAGCTGCTCTTAAAAAGAATTCCGTCAAGAAAAAGTTGTAACAGCTTTAAGAGCTCGCTACATAGATTTCAACTGAAACTTGCGTAGATAATCAATGCCATTGCAAACGGAAAATCAATCATAACCCAACCTCTTGATTATTAGTTATCCATTTTTGCTTTTTAAGAACCTTTTTTATCTTAATCTAATCTATAATAATGGCATAATGCCACAAATAGCACACATAATTTACTAGATAACAAGATTTCTCGACAAAAATATGGAGTTTATTCCCATGACAGAGAAAAGTTAAGCAAGACAAAGCAAACGCTGTCCACAGATGCCACAGATGTATAAGAGTCACACGAAAGTTAAGATTATCAATCACAGAACCCCAAGGAACCCCCCAACCCCAAACACATGCCCAAAAGAGGGGAAAACTGAAACTCCCTTCCAATCTAACAAAATTAAGATCAAAACGAGTTCTGCTATGTCCTCAAGCTGCTATATTCGCCACACCAAACTAAATGAATATAAGCTAAAATTCCAAAGTTACGATTAATATAAACCATTAATCAGCAAAAAAGGCACGGAGATTAAACCGAAACCCTAATCCACATAGAACGAACTAAAAATTCTCGTACCATTTTTACTTATTCTTCTTCGGGTTCGATGAATTCCTCACAGTTGCTGTCGTTCGAGAAAGGTCTCAGATTTCAGAAAGTTAGATCGGAATGGATCAAATCACCGTTAGTACGAAGCAACCCCGACCTCCCTGTTCCGCGGAACGCGTCTTTTGTTTCTGATATTTTATTCGTTCCTGCTCCTTGCAATAAATTACTTAATCCTCGCGGATATGACGTGGAATCATTATACATATATTTTACCGAAATAAAAAATTAGAGTAAAATATTTCAAACTAAAATAGTCATATTGATTTTTTTAAGGAAAAATAAAATTGGAATCGTTGTACTCAAAATTGATATGATTCAAGTAATCTAAATTGTGACGGCGAAAAAAAAAAACAGCAATCTAAATTGTGGAGCACCGTGTTAGTTAAAATTTATGAAATCAAATAATGTTTTCAAAAACACATTACATTTGGGAAAAACAGAAAATTTCGGATAAAAATATTTTTATACTGTAATTTTGTTGAAGTTATGGTTTCATCTTGTTTGCAATATTTTATAGGGAAAATCCCAAAAAAGTCCTAGGAATATGAGAAATTCCAGATTGGGTCCTGGAATTTCAGAAATGACAGAATAGGTCAGTGACCCAATGTGTCATTTGTCAAATTAAGAGGAATTGACAACTTTGCCTTCATTTGCATTCATTCACTACGATGATTTAAGGAATCACTATAAGGGTTTAGGTGTTATCTAGATTCGTGTAACGAATAACTACTCACTTTTTCATAGTCAGTTGTCTTGTTATTAACTACAACTAATTTTGTAATCACTAGAACAATGTAAGCATTACCTAGATTTATGTAGAGAATAACTACTCATTTTTCATAGTCAGGTACCTTATTATTAACTACAACTAATCTTGTAATCACTAGAACAGTGTAAGCGTTACCTAGATTTGTTTAGAGAATAACTACTCACTTTTGCTTAGCCAAAGGCAAAATTGTCAATTCGCCTTAATTTCACAAATGATAGATTGGGTCAATGACTCATTCTGTCATTTTCAAAATTTAAAGACCCAATATGAGATTTTGTATATTCCAAGAGCTTTTTCTGGGATTTTTCCTATTTTATATTTATGAGTATTAACTTCAGAAAGAATAAAAAATAACTTCAAAAATATAAGTGATAAGTTTATTATTCTTTAATATTGTTAATAGATAATATTAATAATGATTATCGATTAAATTAAGTTTTTTTCCCTGTATCCTCCTGTTGGAACCATGTTCAAGACACTATCAAACACTAATGTGGGCATCCTTCAGTAAAAATTTAAACATTAATTTGTCATATTATAAGCGACTAACTCTTTTTTTTTTCTTAAAGTATAGGTATTTTTCTATTGAAGACAATCCTATTCGAAACACTATTAAATACTAAATGCAAATATTTTTTTTAGTGAAAACTTAAATAGGGATTCGTCATATTCTGAATGACTAGAGTTTTTTACTAGGTCTAATCTCATCGGTATGAAATTACGATTGGGAAAGGCATATTATGTACATAGCTTCAAATATTTGTTGGGCTCAATAAGTCAAACCATTTAACTCAAAAAAGTGGGTTGGGCCCAAAAAAAAATAGTTCAAATGCAGGTTGGTCAAATTGACCCGCTTTGCTTGGCAAACGCCGAACGGGTATCTTTTTCCTGTTTTTAATTTGTTAAACTTTGCCTAACTCATCCTAGCCTAAATTTATGTCCACCAAAAGTATTTTTACTAATATCATGGAGATATTTTTAAAAAAAATAAATCTGTGGATGTATTGATCAGAACAAGCTTACAAAATACTACCTCCGGTCTTTAATATAAGATCTTGTTTGACTTTTATTTTGGTTCTAAATATAAGATTCCAATCTACTTTATTTCTCATATTTATCTATTTTTTTCCAAGATAGTCCTTTAATAATGGTAGTTCTAGATAACAAACTTGATTAGCAAGGATATTTTAAGAAAACAATATCTATTCATTACAAATAACTAACTTAACTAAGTTCTTTAATCTCCCCAAATTAATCAATTGGGTCTTATAATTAGGACCGGAGGTAGTAGCTAATAATTTAAAACAATCAAAATCTCTTTTAATCATCCATCCCCTTTCTATAGATTAAATGCCAGCGGGGATTTAAACCCATATATGTATTTTAAAATAATACAGTAAATTTAGGCACTTGTTATATTTCATATATTAAATTATAAAGTGGACCTATATGTATTCATACATTGATTAAGGGCGTGTTTGGATATCTCCAGAAATGCTTTTTAAAAGTATTTTTTTGCAAATCAAGATAAACTCCTCTACATATTTTCTTTGTATACTGTAAAATCACTTTTAAAACTATAATTTGATTTCCATCTAAACACTCTTTTAATTTGTAAACAATACATGATCTTCCAACTTATTATTTTCATGTGTCTCTCTAACTTTTGTTTTGGTTGCTAAACATAATATTCTTTTACTGAAGACAATCTTATTTGAGATATTATTGGGTACTAAATATAGGTACATCTTCTGGTGGAGATTTGAATTTTTGTTTACCATGTCGTAAACAACTAACTCCTTCTGTTAGATTCCATTTTATTAGGGCCTCTTGACTTTGACTGCCATTTATCTTTTTTTTTTTTAAATTTCTTTAATTCTGAGGAACATTTTTCATTGGGAAATGGTCCTCAAGCCTATCATTGATTTCTCCACTAGTCCCTCTCGGCTCTCTCGTTAAAAATAGTGAATTACACAGCTTCATCACTTATCAAGCAGTCCAAACTCTCGAGTCTAATCACATGAAATAGTAAAAACCCACATAAACCCCCCTTTTTTTAATCCCCCTGCAATTATATTATCTGTTAAAACTAGTGTTTATATTAAAGACTAGAGGTAGTAAATACAAGTTAGTCAAATTGATACGCTCTGCTTAGCAAACGCGGAACGGCTATCTTTTTCTTATTTTTAATTTGTTAAACTTTTGCCTAACTTTTCCTGACCTAAATTTATGTCCACCAAAAGTATTTTTACTAATATCATGGAGATTTTTTAAAAAAAAATTAATATATGGATGTATTGATCAGAACAAGCTGACAAAATAGTTAATAATTTCAAATAATCAAAATCTCTTTTAATCATTTACCACCTTTCTATAAGGCGACGGTCGATTAAAAATGTCCAAATTATTTATCTAACATTAGGTTTATAACCTCCTCCCCTTTTCAATAATGTAATCATATCTATCCAATAAATTTATAGTTTTAGCGCAATCAGAACCTCGATTGATTTAGATTAGTCTTGGTGGCTAATAACCTCATAAAAACCAGATGCCAAAACAAAAAACTAACAATTGGAGACCATGAATTTTTTTAAAATTTCAAAAAGATAAAGGTTCTTAAATGATTTTTTTAACGCAAAAAAAAAAAATTTAGGTGGAGAAAAATGTCATTTCTGAGGTTCCATACCATTTGCGAGTGGGCCTATATATAGGTATTTTAAAATCATACTGTAAATTTAGACACTTATTATATTTTATACTTGTGTTTGCCACGTTATGAAAGAGTAACCCTTCTTTTAGATTCCGTTAGTGCCTCTTTGACTTTGAGTGCCATTTATATTTCTTTTTTTTTTTTTTTAAATTTCTTTAGTTGTGAGCAACATTTTTCATTGGGAAATGGTCTTCAACCCTATCATTAATCTCTCCACTAGTCCCTCTCGACTCTCTCGTTAAAAATAGTAAATTACACACAGCTTCATCACTTATCAAGCAGTCCAAACTCTCAAGTCTCATCACATGAAACGGTAAAAAATCCACACTTTTCAACTCCCCATCCGATCCCCACTATTCTCTCTGAACTCTTCAGTTCCTCTCATAAACCCTATTTTTTCTGAATCCTCCTGCAATTTTATTATCTGCTAAAACTAGCCGTATAGATATATATATATCTCTCTCTCTCTAAGATCCTCCATGCTTTCTTTCTCTCTATCATCACCTGCCTTTGCCTCTTGTTCTTTGTTCTTTTTTTACCGCCATGGCTTTCAAGTTCTCTCACTTAAATGTTCTCCTCATACTTCTATGGTTATCCTTACTCTTATTTCTCTTCCATCATCAGTACTTCATCAATAACACCTCCCAGAAACAATTCGCAGAAGAATGTTTGGCCTCTCATGATCACTCTTTGATAATCAGAGGAAGAGGCAGAAAGACTCTGGCCATCAAATTTGACTTCTCTCCAATTCTCAAGCACCACCACCACCACCACCGCGAGGAACACTCGTCGGAGACTGAGCCGGCGGCAAGAGAGATCGACCCGCGTTATGGCATCGAAAAGCGGAAGGTCCCAACGGGTCCAAACCCATTACACCATTAATGGATTTGCTTGAGAAATGGGCAGTGAAGAAAGAAACAAAACAGGAATAATGGTTAGTGGAAGTTGTTATGAAATAAATCTTAATTTAGCTAATGCTTTTGATTTCTCTTTTTTCTTCTTTTATAGGATTTTTGCTTATTTCTCAATAGACCAGAAAAATCATATTTTATCTGCCTAGCTAGCTACGATGTGTGTGATGATATTTTCAAGCATGATAAGTTCTTTTGATTTTAATAAAATACTAATTGATAATTGATGCCATGTATGTGAATCTTTTTTCCCCCCTCTTTGAAAAGTAACTAATGTGAATCTTGCATGTTATTGCATGGAATTCGAAAAATTAGTCACTTTATAGATATGGTTCATGAATGGTATATATATTTTTGTTAGGAGTAATATATAACGATTTATCAAAATAAATTTAATACATTGTAGAATAGTTTTTCCAGCAACCGTAAGTCAACTAATAAATTTCCAGATGGTTGATGAAAAAACAAACAAATTGCCATATAATATAATAGGATAGAAGTAACCAATGGAACTTGGGTTTAACAAAAAAGTTAATCCCATAACGTGACGAATTAATATTTGAATTCCTACTAAAAAAGATATCCACATTTAGTACTTAACATAACAGTGTCTTAAACAGAGTTACCTTCAATAGGAGAATATTTATGCCTATGAAAAAAATATAATAGTCAATATAATCACTTTTTAAATTTAATATTCTGATAGTAGTCCTTCTTTTAATGATTTTTAGGGACTTAATTGTTGTTAATTTTTTCTTTTTGACTTAAATGCCATCCACTTATATAATATGTTACTTTCAGTTAATAAACAAATTAACGCAGGAAAATTATGCTTCTTTTGGATTATACATATATATATATATATATATAGAGGTAATCATATAGATTTACAAAAAAACAAACTATATATATTGAAGGGTTTCTTTCTTTCTTTCTTTTTTCTGGACCTTCAGGGTTTCAGTGCACTTGGTTTTTGATTACCGTGAAAATGTCACAATTGATGAGATTCATGAAAGAAATATGGGGTTGACGTTTTTTTTTGTTGGATAGGATATATATGAATGTGACTTTTGGTGAGTGATCGATGATAAAGAAACAAAGTAACTGAGACGGCACGGCACAAAACTGAAAGGGTTTCTATGGCGGAAGAGACTGAATGTGACTATATATACTTAAAATGAGTATGGCTGATATAAATAAAAGGCATAGAAATTAGTTGGTGAAGAAAAGAAAAGAGCATAGAAAGTTCTATGAAGAATACTACTCCCCTAATAGCCTGAAATCTAAATTGTAGTTGTTTAAACATTCAATGTGTTTTTATCATTTTTACTTCTAATTAATTTTATATGTTGCATTATTAAAAAGTTAACAACTTGGCATACTACATTCTCTTTAATACTTTTTCTCTCTTATTTGTCATTTCTATGCTTAGAAAAAAGTTTATTTCTTACATATTTAGTACTTTTAACTAATTTTAACTATTTTCTTAAATCATGTAATTCGGTTATCAAGTTCTCATGAAAAGGACTGAAGGGGGTACCACTCAAGTCCTTGATGTAAGTTACTTATAACATATTTTTGCATACCAAGTAATGTATTAAATTGAAATTTTTTTTTAATTTTACCCTTATTAAAGTTTTCTCTCTTTACATTTAATAATTATTCTTGTATCTTTCGTTTCTTTCTCTCTTTCCAATGAGAATTAAACAAAAATAAAATTAAAGTAAGTTTAAATATACTACAAATGACTTATATTTAAAATCAAAACTTCTTCCTAAACAAAAATAAAATTAAAAAGTAAGTTTAAATATACTACAAATGACTTATATTTAAAATCAAAACTTCTTCCTACGGCTTACATTTAAGATGAGAGTAGTAATACACTTGATAAATGGGACTCCTATCATTAAATAAGATTATAGTCCTGCTTCCATGCTTTGTGGCGAAAGAATTTTTTTTTTTTTTTAAAACCCTCTAGACAATGATTATATCATTCATTTCATCTATGCATTTATAAAGTCTATAACTAATAACTTGCATATGTAAATGACACAAATAGACTTGTAAATATGAAATTCTTGACATCTGCAATTATTAAATGAAATTTAAGAGACATATGTGCATGTAATTTTCTTACAGGGCTGATGGCAAGATATAGATATATATATATATATATTGCATCACATCTATAGGCAATACTATTTTTTATTTTCGGTATTATATATATGTGACAAGCATGAAAAGTCATCATTTGAAAATTAATTCAATATTCAAATTCTATTAGAATTATTTGAACAAGAAATCGGACCACAGCCAACGTATAAAATAAATGAACTATCTAAATTAGAATATCAGACTCATACAAACTATTCAGAGAGCACATTAAAATTGAATTAATTAGCATAATTTTGAATATTTACGAGTTTAATATTACTAAACTATATTCATTATTCATGCATTTATTAATTTCTTGTTTGTATCTTAAACTTGTTCTAAGGACCTCTTTGTTATAAAATAAGAATGAAAAAAAAAGCGTAAATCAGAGAGGAAGGTATAGAGATAGAAAATCTTAAACGATAAATGAAAAGCAAATGAAAGGATTAATTATGCCCGGAAAAAAAAAAAAAAACGAGTGTGTGTTGTGTGTGTTTGAAGAGTAGCTGAAGACAGAAGTTAAAAGTTCAACAATGTCATGAAGGCTATGGAGAAAAAATTGTGGCTGGCTTAAGTAGTGCATCGTCGGTAAACCATTAATAAAATATAGGCTTTTCCATCAGTCAAGGAATCATTTCTGTGAATGCCTGCACCCCTCTGTCTATGTATTACCTCCTATCTTAAATATAAGACTTAATTAACTAATTTAAATAAATTAAAAAAATAAATTAAATTAGTTATTTGTAATAAATAAGTATTGTTTTTCCTAAGATATCCTTGTTAATCAAGTTTATTGGCTAGAATTATTATTATTAGAAGGAGTATCTTGAAAAAAAAATGAATAAATTTGAAAGACAAAGTGAATTTGGGTCTTATATTTTGAATCAAAATAAAATTCAAACGAAATCTTATATTAAAGACGGAAGGTAGTATTGTTTATAAACATAATAAGGAAGGCATCACCACACATATAACAACAATAACAATAATAAAATAATATTTGTTCTGTCTTTAATATAAGACTTTATTATTAATTTAATTTTAATCCTAAATATAAGGCTTATTTTTTATATTTATTAATTTTTTCTAAATTACCCCCATTGATACTTCCTCAACCATAATCAAATAGAAGAGAGATAGAGGATATTAAGGAAGACGATTACGGTATTTAGAAAAAAATATGTCATATTTTTTGTAATTAATTAACTTACCTAACTTTTTTAATTTAATCAAATTAGTTAAATATGTCTTATATAAGTATCGGAGAAGTCCAATGAATAGCAATTTGAATATGACAATATGAGGCCAAAAATTTTCAAATTTATCAATAATTGAGGACATCAACATTTAGTAATGCGTGCGTGCCAATAGTTTTGCATCCCAATAGAACATAATCCTTTTATTAGTGGGATGTTGCGAGCTCAATCCTATCTATAATTTTAAACTGTTAGTATCTAATCTTTTAATTCAGAAATAAAAATACTAGTGATAATAACGTATGTAAAGGAAACAAGTTGCAGCGTATGGTGTGAGTGATCAAAGAAACCATGATTATACATCACTATGGAAATTTTGAGAATGGATTTTAATGGTTGAGTGATTAATATACAATTACACTTGTGGATGGAATAATTGGAATTGGATTGAGCATGCAACAGAAGATTTCCCCAGTGTTCGCTTCATTTTAGTGGTGCTTTATGATGTTTTTATACAGATACTACCTCCTCCCCTTAATATAAAATATATTTAATTAATTTGGATAAATTAAGAAAAATATTTAAGTTAGTTATTTGTAAAAAAATATGTGCTAATTTTTTTTTAAATATCCTCTTAAATAATTTGGATTGAAACTACCTTTTGATACAAATTCTTTTAAGATATACAATCAATAAGATTAGTTTGAATAAATAAGAGGGACAAAATGGATTTAAATGTTATATTTAGGATCAAATTCAAATCCCATATTAGCTCTTATATTAAAAATAGAAGGTGGTATTATACATATGCCATCTCTTCCTTCTAACTCAAATAATCAAAATCAATATACACTCTCTTGTCTAAAATACAAGAGGTCTTCTAAAAAAAAGTTTTCATACAAAATATAAGAGGTTGACATATCAATTAATGATAGTTTTCACTTTTATCACTTGTTACAAGGGGGAGAGAATTTTAAACGCAAGAAAAATGAAAAAAAGATTTTACTCACATTCTTTAATAAGTTTGCAAGAAAACTTAACAAACCTCTTATATTATGGGTGGTAGGAAATACTACCTCCAGTCTTAATTATAAGATCTAGTTGACTAATTTAAAGAGATTAAAGAAAGAAGTTAAGTTAGTTATTTGTAATAAATATATGTTGTCTTTCCTAAAATATCCTTACTAATCAAATGTATTAGCTAAAACTATTATTGCTCGGAGGATTACTTTGGAAAAAAAAGTATAAATATGAAAGACAAAGTGGATTAGAGTCTTATATTTAGGACCAAAATAAAAGTCAAACAAGTTCTTATATTAAAAACCAGAAGTAATATATAATTAAACATTACTTTTGATTTTTAATATAAAATTTAGTTTGTAGTTGAAATCAAACCACAAAAACTAATACATCCGTTAGCTTTAAATATAAAAACTAGTATATGTATTTGTTTTGATACTAAACGTAAGATCATACTTCAATTCACTTTAAAAATATAGTTATAAAGATTAGTTTATCATATCTTATATTATGAATATAAAATACTCTTCTGGGCCTAAATATAAGACTCTTATACTGTTTTATACTAAGACAGTATAAGAGTCTTATATTTAGGATTAGT